AATAAATTTTTCAAAATGTTTTTTTTTTTCAAAAAAAAATACCGCAGATGATAGAAGTATTTAGGCATAAAAGGTCTGCATAAAAATATTAAAAAATTTTATCAACTGAATAAAAATAATACGGTTTACGGAGGTATATTCAAATAATTTTAGCTCACGTAAAATTTAGTATTTTTTCCGACATTTTTTTTTTGTGGTGCACCCTAATGTATATGGCATAAAGAACGCAGGAATATGCTATTAGAATGCGGATACCGGAGACAATGGAGCTGTGAACTCTATAAAAGCGAGTTAAGATACACCGGCCATGCTGGAGTGTACGATCGGATCGGAATGTTTAAGCTTTGAAGTATTCGATAGCCGTAAGTGGTGACAACAGAAAATGAAATCCTCCTCAAGTAGACTAGGATGTAGGGTTTCTAATTGGTGTCAGTTAGCAAGAAGATGAAACGACTGGCGTACTTTTTTGAAATCTACCGTGATCGCTTAGGCGACATCAATGAAGAAGAATAAAGTCGGGTCTACGCGACCGGAGCGACCTAAGTTTATATCGGGTCACGGTTTGTCGCATTAGAAACATTCCATATCTAGAGGTTTTTGGAAAACGTATATGCTATTACAACGATAACAATAGACTTAATCCTAGATAGTAGCGCCTGAAGAACTCCATAGAAAGCTTTTCAGGCATTGAGCGCTCTTTTCGCATATAAGTTTTATATTCCTTCCTTCCTTCCACACGAAAGCCACAACACCTCAGAAGCTTGTTGTGCTGTTCTAATCTAACAGCTTTCACTAACACTTTGTTCGTTCATTTTGGATATAAACCTCTTTGATAAAACCTATTATCAGCAGACTCTCAGTCAATTTCGTGAGAAGTCTACTTAACATGCTGTAAGGGCGCTTTCCGTATGGCACCTGGGGCTGCACCTCATGCACTGCTTAACCTACCGTCTTTTACTCGCGGAATGACGGTCACTCACAGCCGAACTAACTAGCTCGGCAATGCAAGTCTCAACTAAATTATGTTAGTAAACATGACGAACGTGCTTCACTCTGGGTGCCAAGTCACGCAGGATTACCAGGTAATGAGATAATCTGGCAAAATGGCTAGAAAGGGCTCATACCTAGTATTTATCGGCCGGAAACAAGTCAACGTATGTAGTGCTTTTACACCGAGATCATTAAGGAAATTCTTGTATTTCGGCTTTTGCTGAGTTAAAATTTTTTGTAACTTTTCCAAAGTCTCATAAAAAATTCACGAAAATTACAATTTTATATATCCGTATAATCCAAAAAGGTGGAAGCGAAATTTTTTTTCAAAATTTTCTTTTTGTCGTAGAAATGTTCCTAGCGCATCTATGTAGATGCATTTTTGCATCAAAAATAAAATTTTGAAAAAAATTTCGCCCACATCCTTTTAGCGGTTGGCGCACGATATTAAGTGGAAATGTTATTTTAACAGCTAAAAAACAAAAGTACTTTAATTGTCTCATCTTTGCAGTAAAAATATGTGTGTAAAATAATAAAAGTCATGGCATTTTACGCTTGGTAAACATGCAATAAAGCAGAGCGGGGCAGCTAGCGAAAAGAAAATAAAAATAAATATTATATACTACATACATACGCACAAAGGTAAACAAATCAATCGGAAGACAAAAACATAAAAACAGCATTAATTATTCTTGTTTGGTTTGTTAAAACAATAAATATTTTTTATTCAACAACATAGATTTCTTTACTAATATTCATTACAAGCAGGTTGATATCAAATAATTTTTTTCATTCTCATTTTCATTAATAAATATATTTTTTTCTCTCATTAGTATAATCGATTTTACTTTACAAATACATATACATATTTAATATGTTCAGAAAAAAATTTTCGTTAATATCGTTTTCGAGAGTATCGTATAGTATTAGTTTGAAAATAATATATATATTTTTTTAGTAATTTTTGATAAAAATTAAAAATAATAATTTCCAAGTATAATTGTAAATGGTAGTAGAAATAGTAGTAGTAGACGTAGTATAACCCAATGCAATTGAGGCTACACAATGCGGGTCGCATTCACAGGGTTTTCATGTCAATCAAACGTACTCAGTTTTTGGGTTGCGCTAAAGTTGCTACAGTTCTTGTTACATTCTTGTTGCTTGTGGCATTTGCGTGTAAATATTTGTTGTTATGTAGATGCGAGTAGTATATAGTAGTAGTACGAGTAGTATATAGATAGTAGCAGGTCTATGAGGTATGGTCAAAGCTTCGCCAAAATCTTTCGAATTCATCTAAAATTCGGCTCTTAAACGGTGACGTGGCAAACATCTCGTCAAAGGAGGGCGATACTGGTAGCTTGCTAAAGAATGGCGAATGGGGTGTTGAAGGTGGTGGTGGTGGTGTTGGAGCTGTTGCTGAAAAGGGCGCTGTTTCATCAGCGTATACTAAAGCGAGCAATTGAAGAGAAATATTAACGAATTAAAGAATTTAAAGAACAGATTTTTATTTATTTTTTGTTACAAAGAAAAGACGTCAAAGTGCAATTTTTGTTTTACCCAAATGTTGACGTGGAAGTTTTATTTATTTATGTACAAAGAACCACATATGGATGAGTTACTTTACCAATGAGTCACGTATGAAGAGAGTAGTTACAGAGATTGTTGGTGGGAGAATACATACATATGTAGGTGGGTATTTATATATATGTAAGTCTGTAGTTACAACAAGCATTTTTTGGTCTGCTGAAGGTGTTAAGTTGGAAGTTTATGAAGATGAGAAATTTTTTTAATAATAAATTTGATGATTACTTTTTTTTAAAATTAGATATTACGATATACATTTCATTTTTATTAGCCTCTTAGTATGCTTTTTTTTATGTATTTATGTATGTACATGGATGAAGTGGCTGAAAAAGTGAAGTCTAAGCAGTAACTACGGATCGCGAGCGAGCTTGTCATGAGCTTCCAAAGGAACAAAATATTAGATGACTTCGATTAATTTAAGTTAACTATTTTATTTTTGAAGTATATATATTTTAATTTATTTAATTTAGTTTTAATTTATTTCGTTTTTCCAATCATTTATTTGGCTTTCTATTTTTTCTCAGTTTAAATTCTTTTTGGTTTTTGCTTTTCATTTTAAATTTAATATACAATGTATTTTGTTGCGTAATTTTTCATTGCATTTTTTGCTTTATTTATGCTAAATTTTATATATGTTCTATATTTCTCATTTTTATTTATTTAATTTAGATCAATTTAGTTTGTCTATTTTTCAACTAAATTTCTTTTGCCTTTGTTTAATTAATTAACTAACATTTATTTAATTTGATTGTTGCAAAGTTTTATTAATTTTTTTTTTTATTTAATTAAACTTAGTTCAATATAATTTTTTATATTTTTACTAAATGGTTTTTGTTTTGATTTTATTTTGTGTTATACATAATTTATTTTTTAATAAATTTACTTGTTCATATCCTTTTATTTTATTAAATATTTTGTTTGACCTTTCACCTTTTCCACTTTTATTTTATTGTTACTCTGTCTAATTTTTCACGATATTTTTATTTTTTATCATTTATTTTTTATCTTTATTTATATTTAATATTTTGTTTATTATTTTATAGTTTTTTATTTCATGCCTAATTTTTTCTAGTTTTGATTAATTTATTTTTAATATTTTTTTATTACATTTCTGTTTTACTAATTTGTTGTCTACTTTCTATTATCTTTTTTTTTGGGGGGATTTATTTTTATGGATTTTTTTTATTTTTTTTTCTGTTTTACTAAATTTTCTATTAATTCAAATATAATTTTATTCCATTTTATTTGATGTATTTTATATGAATTCATTTGGTTTTAATTTCTATTTTATTTTGTTGATTATTATTATGTTTTTATTATATTTTGTTATAAAAAAAATTTTAACTCAAATCTTTTTTTTAATTTTAATTCTTATTGATATAGTTTTGTTTCTTGTCGCCGCTTTTTTATCTTTTTTTTTACTTAATCTTTTATTTCCTATTATTGTTCACTTTTTCTATTTTATTCCTTTATTTTATTTTATTTTATTTTATTTTATTTTATTTTATTTTATTTTATTTTATTTTATTTTATTTTATTTTATTTTATTTTATTTTATTTTATTTTTTTAATTAATTTTTTTTATAATTTTGATTTTTATTCTATATATATTTTATATACAATTTAATTATGTTTTATTATTAAATATATTTTTGTTTATTTTTTGTATTTGACTTCTTTTATTTTTATTTCTTTTAAATACATTTTTGTATAACTTTATTATATATATTTTTTTAATTTAATTTTTAATATTTTTAATTTTAATTTTAAATTAAATTTTGTTTTACTTATTTTTTTAAAAAAAGAGGATTTTTTTTATATTTTTATTTTATATTTAATGAAGTATTTTTATTCTGATATTTTTGATTCTAGTTTTAGTAAATTTCATTTTATTTTTCTCTCGAAAAAATAATAAGAGGAAAAATTGTGTTTTGATATTTCAATTTTGGTTTCGACAAATCAAATTCTACTCTAGCTCGGCACTAACTATTGCGTAATCAGTGAAAAGCACTCCAGATGGACAAGCCAACTACGATCGCAGTACCCAATAAGCTACCAGCACCAATCAGAGCAGGCAAGGTTTCAGAGGATTCGTTAGATTCAGTATTACCCGTTGCGACAACACTATCGCGTATAGCACTTGTAATGGGTGTAGCGGTAGTAGTATCAGTATCAATATCGGTATCAGTAACGGTAGTGGAAGTCGAGGAATTGGAGTTGGATATCGAGTTGGTAGTAGTAGCACTAGAAGCTGAAGCAAATGTTTTTTTACGAATAAATTGTATGGTAGGAGGAGTGTTCACACTTTGCATGCACTCACCCTGTTCGCTGCCGCTAGTAGTTCGGCTGTGCCCTTCTTGTTGCCGCTGCTGTTGTTGTTGGCGCTGTTGAACGCTGGTCGGCAACCTTTGGCTCGCCTGGCCCACGATTTCCGGTTGTCTGGCAATCTTCACAGTTTTCACCATAGACGATTTCTTCACTGCACTACTCATAGAATTTGCATTCGCCTCTTGCCTGCGCTCCTCCTCCTGATGCACCACCCTATGCCCACCGTCGATCTTTTCTTCATTGTGATTGGAGAACCGCGCAAATTCACGTAAATGGCGTGGCAACTGCCGCAAATCTGTTTCCGATTTGCCCTCGAGCACCTTTACAGGCGGCACTTCCGCATCACTTTCGCTGGCGTGTCCAGCCGCAACGGGTTGCGATTCGGCGCCACTCTCCCAATCGCTATCGGCCGGCATTGCAAGCTTGGTGCGTCGTTCTTGTACGCGTTTGAGAAACTCATCGCTAATATCGGTTTTTTGATTAGGTGGCACGGGTGGTTGGTGTCCTTGTTGTGTCTCATTCACTTTCGAAATTTTTATTATCTTTTGCAAGCGGCGCTCCTCGCGTTCAGCCACCTTGCTAAGCCACTCTTCGGCCATTTGTTGGCGGAACACTTCATCCTCGGTGAGTGTGGGCAATTTTGGCATCGGTCGGTAGATGTCGCGCATGGGATGTTGTGGCATCTGCAACGTCACTGGTGGCGTATTCAACTCATCAAGCAGCCGACGGCGTTCATTTTGCAAACGTTCGAATTCCATGCGCAACTCCTCTTCCTTGCTGCTGATATATTTGAGCTGCTGCTCTTGTATTTCACGTGGCAAAGAGGCACGACGCTGTCGCTCTGGCGCATGTGGACTATACAGCGGCTCCTGTGCGCCTGGCTGCGCCGCGGGCGATACTGGAGCGGGTGAGACGCCGCGGCGCGTAGTGGTGCTAATGTAAGTGGGGTTGGGGTCGCGTTCGAGCACCGAGTAGCAGCTGGCGTGATGCTGTGGGCGTTGTTGATGTGCCACAGGTTGCAACATTGGTGCATGTGAACGCCGCACATTGTAAGCATTGTAGCTGTCGTAGCACTGCGAGTTGGACGAGAGATCGTTGGTGGATGCGGAAAGCCTTGGTGCACGTATTGTGCGTGGTCGCTGACGCTGATAGCAGATCTCCACCTCGCGCGCGAATGGTCGCGTGATATTCTCCGATGAGCCGAAGTCGCTGGCATAGCGCGACCAATCGTCAGCGGCGGAGGATTGCGGACGCTCGTAGCTGGTAAACGGTTGTTGTTGATGTGCTTGCGGCTGCGGACGCGCGGTGTTCTCGGATAGATTGAACATAGATTCAGCGCGCCTGAAGCGTGAGGCATCGTCTACGGTATCATATTGTGCTGACGGGGATGGAGGCGGCGGCACCTTAGGCGCTGCGCCATTCTCCATTACAATGGGTATGTTGTAGGAGCGTGGTTGCGTAAGCTCACGGGGCGCTGAGCTCCTATCGCTGGCGCCGTGAGGGTTTTTGCCATTGCGATCTTCGATGCGTATAGGTATTTCAAAAGTTCGTCCGCCCGCAGGCGCGCCATTTGAAACTTGGCCTTTTGAGTGGCGGGAGCGCGCCGAGCGCTCAATTTCGCGCTCTAATTCTTGCATATGTTCGTGCCGCTGTTTCTTCAGCTGATCGAAATGGTCCTTGAAATTCCACTGCGTGCGACTGAGGTCGTAAAGTGATGCAGATTTTTCGCGCTGTTGGCGTTGCGCCTTCCCCTCTTCGAGCTCCATGTTCAATTGTTGCGACAGCGCATCAAAGTCCTTGAATAGTCTGTCATGTTGGAAATTGAAAGCGGAATGCTTGGCGTTGCTTGTGCCGAGCGGTGGTGCGGTGGCTGGTGTCTCGCCGAGAGCACCGAATGCGTCCGCTGCTGCCTTGGCACGTTGCCTAAATTCTTCATAAGCGGTGCTGCTGCCGCTGACACTGCCATTGCCCGCACCACCACTTGTAAGTGGCTGCACTGTGCGACCGTTCTCTTTGCTATTTTTAATGTCTTCTTCTCTTATCGTCGTCTCCGCTGCTGTGCCAAACGAACGATTGGCGAAGTGGGATGTTGTTGAAGAAGAAGTGGTGGTTGCGGATGTGGTGGCGCCAGGGTTGGTGAAATTGGTCATTCTCATGCTGTTTGCTTGTTCTTTTCTTTCGGCTTTGGCATCTTGTTCGATTGTTTTGGCATTTTCTGTTGTGTTTAATTTTATTGCTGACATAATTTCACTATTTACGCTCCTGCTTGACATGCCATCGCCATCCACGGGATATTGTAATAACTCTTTCGATGGCTCCCTTACGGGGAAATGCAGCAGCGATGGTGTGGACGTGCTATCCAATGACTTATCGCCATCAGTCTGCCGCTCATGATGCGAATCGGTATAATCATAAACTACCTCTCCATTCTCCATGCGCTTCTTCGCTTCGTATGAGTGCGTCTCGATATTGGAGTACCTTTTCGGCAGCGTACTCTGGAGTTGGGCGCAGTAAGGGCCACCCGACGATGCCGTTGATGACTCGATATTCGAGAAGCGTTTGCGATTGCTATCGAAGATATTGCTTGCGCCCATGGATGGGAACATTTTGGCCAATTCACTCTCGACACCGTGCATTTTGCCTGCGGCTGATGGTGGGAAGCTAATATTTACGTAATTATTACCACCGTACAAATCGGACGTAGCTCTATTGCTGGTTGGTTCGGACGCGTTTGCGTTTGAATACTGGCGTGTATCGGCGCTGGTGGCTGGTTGCTTTCCTTCGAAAGCTGGTTCGCCACCCTGTGCGCCAGTAGCATAAGCAGCGTCACTCGATTGCCTTGAGTTATTTTCAAGCGATGATGTCTTTTGTTGCTGCTGCGATGATGAGCCAGCGACGGAAACAGCAACAGCATCAGCATCAGCTGGTTTGCCAGTTTTTTCTATTAGCGTTTGCAAATGATTTTGTTGTGACTGGTACGCTTGGTTCTGCTGCTGTGGCTCTTCTCCATTTGCGAAAGTGGACGTTGTTTGCTCATTAGCATTTCTATAATTTGTTGCGTCATAAACGCGTTGCTGCTGGCTGCTGATCATCGCACTCGACCCGCCTGACGACGAGCTTGTTGAGGCTGTTCTTACTTGATTTTGTGCTTTCGCCGCTGTTTCGGAGCTCTTCGATGGCACTGGTGGTGGCGGCACGGGCGGCGGTGGTGGTGTCAGGCTCTTACGTAATTTCTTCATATACGCCGCTGTTTTCAATATCTGCTGCTCCTCCTGCTGCAGCGCGGCATTGAGTGTTTTCACCTGTTCTTCGGTATATTCATGATAGCCACGTCGCTCCAGAAACTTCTGATGTGCATCCAAAAGTTGGTCGGGCTGCTGCGAGGAATCGGTCGCCAGCTGCTGACGTTGAGCAGGCGATAGGCATACCAGTACATTGGGGTCGGCAGCGGTTGGCACGCCTAGCCACGGCGCATCGCTGTAGTGTGAGGGTGGCGCGGGCACTGGTGGCGGCGACGGAGAATGCAACATATTTGCAGTGGTGAGATCACGCGGCATGCGTTCTGGATCGCCGAGCTGTTTAATAGCCACTTTGTGGGTAGTAGTTGCGGAGGTGGTCGATGAAAGCTTTGAGTGGGGGTCACTAGCATGCGGTGGCTGATCGTCAGCGATCGACATTTGCAATTCACTTATGTGCGGTAACTGGGGTAACGGGTATGGCATGGTGGTGCCGTCTGTCTTTTCTGTCGCTGCGAAATTCTTCTCCTCCGCGTGATGGGTGGGCGTTTTCGCTTGCAATTCACCTATATTCTGCGCTACTGTGGCCAGTTCTTCTAACACTTGTTCACCGTATGGCATGGATGCCAATGTTTCGGTGCAAAGCAGACGGGGCTTTTTAATAGATGCATCATTTTGTACGCTCGTTGCATTTAAAGTTGCTGTGGGAGTCGTGCATTCGTCCCTTGCATCGGTCCAGTTGTTGTACTGGTGGAGCTGCTGTTGTTCTTGCTTATAATCTGAAATGGGGGAGGTTGCCGTCAATGGTGGCGTCAGCTCATGATCGGTGTGTGGGCGTGAGCCAACATTGATGGCCGTGCATTGACTGTGTTGGGTACTGTCGGAGCAATGGGATTCGGCGGATTCCTGGCGCCTAAGCAAGGATAATGAGGTCAAAGCAGAATTAGTGGTATACAGTGAACTGGTTGGCTGTGGACTCTTTTGTTCGGGTGTGTATGTTTCAACGTAGGTGGAGTCGTGTGGGGCGCGCGTAGGTATTGGTGGTGGTGCTGAGATCACTGCGGCGGGTGGCTGTGTTTGTAAACCTGTAAAATCACTATGATAATCACTAGCACTAGCACTGGTGGGTGGTGGCGGTATGGGCGGAGGTGAGGGCGAGGCTTTCTTTGCACTATTAAAATGATCAGTATTTAATTCACTCGAACGCGCATTGTCGAAATTCCCATTCCCGCGCGACGTAGCCGCCGTTGTCTCGATCGTATGCGAGTTTAGAATTTCGCGCACGCTATTCATTTCCAATTCAATATTTTCAAGCAGCACTGCTGGGTCAACGTTTAAACTATCACTAGTCGCAATTGTGGCTGGCGGGTATTTCATTTCAATGCTGCTGCTGTTGAGGCTGCTGCTGCTGCCGCCACTGCCGCTGCCGCCAGTGTCCGAGCTGCGCAAATATTCACACCTCTCCGTTGTTGTATCTGAGCTCATCTCGGTCTCTGTCTCTGACTCGCTGGTAGTGGCTGCCGCCGTGCGATATGACGTTGTAGTTGTTGTTGCGCCACTACCGGAGGAGAGCGCGCGCTCACCACTTGGCTCTGCTAGCAATTGCAAGCTTTTCAAATTCTCATATATTTTGCTTTCAATTGGATTAGTGATTGTGGCGTTCACTGTGCCAGCGTCAATATTTGTGTCAATAGCAGTTTTTGTTGTTTGTTCTACACTTGTATTGTTATTTGCAAGCAATTTTTGCGTTTCTTTTATTTTTTCTGACAGCCTTGTTGATGCCTGATTAACAGGTGTACTCTCGCGACTATCACTTTGGTTGGGTGCGGCAGCCGCGCGCTCTTCGCTGCCAGGTTTTGTTATGATTTCCCGCACGTCCGTGTCGAGATCGACTGTTGAGCGACAGCTATCGTCCCGCTCATCATCGCCCTCTCCTCCACCTGCCTCCGCGTCAAGTTCCACCAGATCGGACAGGCTGCTCGATGCCGAACTACTCAAGTAGATCACTTCTGCTGCTTCCGATTCGGGCGTGTGCTCGCTGGACAAGCGTACGCAACATTCCTGTGCTGGTGTTGTTGCTTCAATTAGTTTGGCAGCAACTACCATGGCAACAGGCTCCTCGCGTATGGGTAATGGCTTTTTTGGCAACGCGCCAAGCTGTTTTTTCGCATGACGTCGCGAAAAGTCCAAATTGCTGCGCGGAAATATCTCATTTGCTTTGCGCACTTTCGCCGCAGCTTGGTCACGCAAATCATCACCGGATAGTGTGGTCATTAAGTGATTTTCGGAACAATCACTGCGTGCGTCACTCATATCACTATTCTCCTCTAGAATGCTATCCAGATAGCGTGGACTTAGCAGCTGCGGCAGGAAATGTGTTTCCAGCGCGACGCGTTTTTGTGCGCGCCGTTGCTTCAGATCTTGCTGCGGCTCCTGACTGGGAGCGGCGGTTGATCTATGTACGAACTCGTAGTTATCTTCGGAATCGGGCGACAGTGTACGCACAGTCTGCGCATAGTCGAGTGCGCAAGCGCCCGCTGTTGATTCTGTCTCCGACTCGCCTTCGCTAATCACTGGTGGATTGTCATTGTACTCGCTGGAGCTTTCGTCGCTGATCTCTTGAATTTGTACGATACTCTTATTAAGTATGGATTGTTTAGACCTACCCAGTTGTGCTGTGGGACTAAGAGCATCGGGCGATTCGACGCGATAATTGATGGGGGATGTTGAATCGAGTTGTATGTGGTGTATAATGACTTTGGCATCATCAATTAATTGATCAGACATACCTTTTCCATTGTCAGCGACTGCCTTTGTTTCGAACGGTCGTTGTAGGCTAGCGCCTTTGTTTGCCGCAACATCCTGTAGTTCCTGCGCGATCTTGTGCACAATCACTTTACCACCTTCACTGGTGTGTAATTTCTTAACAACTGCTTCGTTTCCTCCTTCCTGCTGTATCGGGTGAACGATCACTTTGGACTCAGCTTTCGCTGGCTGAAGCGACACCCCGACTCCTCCTCCACCCGCTTGCTGTTCGATATTATGTATAATCACTTTCGATCGCTGTGATTTCTGCGCTCCATCTACATCGTCCGCAATTTGTCCATCATTCACAGCCGTTTTCTGTCGTTCCTCAGTGGCCTGCGCAAGTTTTTGTTTGCCAGCGCGCGCCACTTGTGCGACCTTGTCAATGTCTTCATCTTTCTGCCGCTCCTTCTCCTTCTCCCCCTCACCGTCTTCGCTAGATTCTCGCACTATTCTGTGCACAATAACCTTTGCCATTTGCGTTTTGGTTGCGGGCTGCAACGTCTCCAACTCTCTGGCACCGACTATGGTGCGATCTGGTCTGATCACGCCGCACAAATCGGCTGTTGCTGTTGCCACTGCCCTATCATCCGTTGTCGCCAACGCTGTGGCGTCATTGCTTGTGATGGATGTTTTTGAGTCTTTATTGCCCATCGTAAACTCTTCCACACCTTTCTCGCTCCTAAAGCTGTGCGCTGTCTCTTCACTATATGTCGCCGCTTCTTTATTATCTAATTTCGAAAGTAGTGCATCTGCATCTGCATCTTCCACTCGGTTGCACTCTTCGCGGTCAACTGTAGCTGTGATCGCTTGGTGGCTGCTTGTGGGTGCTGCAAAATCACTGGGCTCGTTCGAACTTAAATTGTCACTCTGGACGAAGATAGTCGCAGTGGATGCGTTAGGGGTGGTGGCGGTTGAGTCCACTTCTCGCGCATCTTGTGAGCTCGCGTGGTGTTGCTGTGAAGAGTTTACTGGCTCGTCAGCTGGCGCAAGCGGTGTTGGAAGGGTAGTGGCAGTGGCGGTGGTTGTTGGTGTTGGTGACTTTGGTGATTTCGGTGGCTGTTGTTGATTTGATTGCTCACGTTGTGCTCGACCCTGACTTTGATTGTCTTTATTGCCGGTTGACTGCCGGTTTTGAGTGGCTGATGGCTGATTTGCCTGTTGATTCTGGTTTTGGCTTTTATTTTTATTGTCTTGCTGATTTTGTTGTTGTTGTTGTTGTTGCTGCTTCTGACGATTCTTATTCTTATTTTTCTTATTTTTTTGGCGATAATTTGGCATGTTATTTCAAATGTATGCACATATATTTATTGCACTTATGTGTCGCTTACTCAACGCGATCGTTCGGCGATCACACTTTGATTGACTAGTTCTTTGTTGGCTCGTGTTCAAGCGAGTCTTTTGCCTACAAATGTATGTCTCTGCACTACCAGCACTGCTATGATAATTGTGTTGGCCGCGCACGTTCTCTTTTTGGTTACGTGGCGTTGATTTTGGTCAGCCTTTTTCTGGTGGTGACTAAGGTCGGGTACCCAGGAAAAAAAAGCTAATTTTACTAAATGAAAGTTCGTTGCGTTTGTAAAAGTTTGCTCAATCAATTGAAATTCGTATTGCGTATTTCAAAATTTCCGCTAATTCGTTTGTATTTGCTATTTTGTGTTTACTGCTACTTCTACTTCTTGTTCGTTTTGCTGGTCGAAAATCGTCGACGCATTCTATTCGTCTGTAGGTCTGTGAAAATACTGAGTGATCGCCACTGAGCGTTCAACAAAGTACCACCACCGACCGGCGGCAAGCGTTGAGCGTACAACGGATATATCCATTCTACTAGCGGACGGACTACCATCAAACATTTTTGGGCACGCGCACTTCCCTAAATGTCACACATTCTATATAAATGAGTGTTTTTGTTATTGTTGCCTTTTAGGTTTCGAAAAATCGAATTTTTTGGATATGCGTTTAGAAAACTGTTGCCTTTTATATTTGCTGCTAGGCATTTGGCACACACACACACACATACATATTGACAAACACGTACACAGACGATTTCATAACAACCAGCGCTATGGCGAGCGCGTCGCTGACGTTTTCGAAATTCAATTTTCCACTTTTCTACTTTTCTATGCCCGCCGTACACGCGTAATAAGAAATATTTTTCACTCGATTTATTTTCGAAAAAACACCACGAAAAAAGTGAAGTGGTTAGTGGAATAAGTTCTGAAATAATTTTGCGCTTCGTTTGCTCTTATGCGCGCGCGATCGTTAGCTCACCCGCTCGCTCGCACGTCACGGAGAGTCGTTGTTTTGAACTGAATTGTACTACTATGCGGGTAATGTTTTGGTCTGTGCGCTCTCGACATTAATAACATTTAGTTATTGTTTTTTTTTTGTTGTTGCCGTCTTTTTTGGCTTTTGTTTGTAGCTATTATAGTTGTTGGCTTATTTAGTGCAGCGCCGAATGAGCGGCAAAACAGCAAAAGTTCGAAATGCTAGTACAACGCGGCATGTTTGTGAGTGCGCTGCCGCCGCGCCGCGCCGCGCCGCGATTGGCCTACCGCCTGCTGCGGAACTAGACGTGCGAGCGAAATTTGAATGTTTTTTTGAGCGCCAGTATTTCCCACACATGTGTACATAAATACCTTAGTAAAGTGAATGGGGAGGGAGCAGGATAGGGGCAAGCTAAATAGCAAAATTAATGATTCTAGTTTTGTGCGCGCTGTTTCGTATGTGTCGTGTATGTATGAATGTATGCGTGTAGGGCATTTTATAAAAATACGCAAAAACAGGCATTTTCGGTTGGGCAACATCGCATACAGGGTGGGACTATTGCTAAGAAATTGTTTAAACTTAACTAATTTTTGAGTATTGATTTTTTTCAAATTAGAGGAACATAAAACAAGCTAATGAAGAATTTTTGTTAAAGAAAATTTTCTACATTATACACGTGAAACGTGTCGTCAGTAGTAAGTTTTTAACGCACGTTGAATACATATAAACAATTTTTCGTCGTCGTCACATTCTCAGTAGGTCGTAACGATAACAAAGACAGTTGTCATTATTAGAGCGCTTAAAATTAAGTTTCTACCGCATAGTTTTAGGCGCATTAGCTAAGACAATAATCGTACGATAATAAAATAAGTGAGAGAGAGAAAGTCTCTTGGGAAGAGGGTTCAAAAAACATATTCACGGATGAGTTGAAGTTGGACGGAACTCTCCGTAAACGTCATGTTTGGGCTCCCGGCATTCGAAAGCGTGTTTCAAGCAGATGCAGCCGGGATAAAAGAGGTAGCCGACTGGCTATATAACAGCGTAATACCGAAGGCCAAACTGCATTAAGGGAACTCCTGGCCTGACAGGCAGGTTATAGGAGTATTTGTTACAAGATAGGCCTCTTTCTGGGCTTTTAGTCGGCGCTGAGTGAAAGCCCAAGATTCGCAAGGTTACAAGGTCCTTCTGGCCGGTGGTAATGGACGGCAAGTGCCCAAAGGAGCTTCTTAAGCTAACCAGGACTCTTGCTGGTCCATTGTCCAAAAGGGACTCGTGTGATACGACGCTATGAAGGAAGACAAGTTTAAATCAATTGTAGAATTTTTGATGGTCCACACGAAACAAGCAATAAGCAAACTTTTGAATTCAGACTTCATATTCAGCGACCCAAGCTGTATAAGATTATTATTATACAACCAAGCTCTAAGCGAAAGGTTTATTTGCGCCAGAGAGGGTTAAATTTTTGGTGATGCTAGCATGATGTGTATTAGTATCAGTCAATTATGCTTGATAATTGCTTTAGTTCTGAAATCATTAATCAATGTTGCTGTTCTCAATCTGTAGCCAATCGGCTCACTAATAGATTAGAAATGTTGTTGGGCTTTGCGTGTGACCTGATTTTCATCTTCATCACACATACATATCTACATTTACATGAATCATTTTCTATTCTGTTGCTTGTATACTGAGTTTGAGTTTAAGTTTCAGACGGCGAGTTGAATTTTCAGACGATTTTAACTTGCGAGTGTTTTTCTTATATTAAAATTTTAGAAAAAAATCTTTTTGAAAAGCTATTTATCAGTTTTAGTAGTAATGCTTAGTTTCCAGCTCTCAAGAAAAATCACAAATTTTTTCTTGATAAAATGTGGTACAAAATAGTTTGTAAAGAAATCTCGAGCCTTCCAATTATATTGAATTTAATAACAAGGTGCTAAAACAACCTAAAAAGTGCACGGATTTCAGGTATGATTAAGTAAAGGTCAATTCGAATTCGAAACTATGTTCCAAAATTTTTTAGCAACCTAAAATTCCTAACCAAATCTTTTCTTCCCGAACTTAATAATTAAACCTACGGTTATCCCTTAGTCGATTGTCAGATTGAATATGAATTTTTTTAGGGAAAACATTTTTTGTGTAGTTTATGCAAATAAATAGTAGGCAATTTAACAATACTGCTTAGCGAAAGAGAGTTTGCAAGAATGCCTTTTTTGCATAGAATTAAATAGCTGCGTTAAGCTCGACGTCCGAAGCCTTTCTTGACACATACACTCGAAGTTATCAAGAGCAAAGTACAGCGGAAAGTAATAAGAATGGATGAAACAGGTAACGTATAGAACCGGAAACAGTACAAAAAATATTTATGTGACTGCTTCAATAATAAAAATTATTATTTTTTGGCGCTTACACTCTTGATGAATGTTTGGCCTCCAATATGTTTCTTGATGTTACTACACAAATAGAGGAACCCGAACCCCAAATGGATACGTTTTGAAGGCAGCATTACACACGGTGGTTTGCCATGCCTGCCGAGGAGCGACCGCTGTTTTAAAAAAAAAAATCTTTTTCTGTAATTTTTTTTTTTTTTGGGATGTTAGTTTGACCAGAAATCGAACCTTTGTCCTACGTAGTGGTAGTACGCTTCTCTAACCACTTTTCTGCACGCGTTGTTTTCGTGCCTCTAACTACTCCGCTGCAGCGCACAGTGATTCAAACCTGAAATTTAATGTTCACAATTTACTGGAGCCTTCATTTTTCAACTTGTTTTTTTTTTTTGTAAATCCACAAGAAAAATCGAAATGTTATGAAAAAAATTTCACCAAAATTAAGTCTTTTCAATCAATTTCATAAAGAAATTCACAAAAAATCGATGTTACAAAAAAATGTTCACAAAAAAAAAATGCTTTTTTTGTGAAATTTTTATAAAAAGTATATATATAAATTTTAGCATAATAAAATGCAAGTTGCATGGTGATAAGAGTTCGCTTTGATTTTTGAATAATTGTTTTTCGTTATATAGAAACTGTCGAGCATACTTTACATGGATGAAAATGCACAACACCGGCAGCTAAAAAAAAAGTATTAAAAACCAACGCGAACACTGAACCCCTTGAAGCTTGCACTTTATTGTACTAAAATTTAATGCTTTATAAATTTGCGTAACTAAAATTTTGATAAAAATCAAGGAGAAATTTAATATTGGTGAATATTTTTTTATAACATTTCGATTTTTCTTGTATTTTTTTTTGTTTTCTCGGAACCCCACAATTGTTTTTAACTAATTTTTATTATGTAACATTCATTAACTGTAACAGGCGAATCAATGTTCTACAAAAATTGCTACTTTTTCTGCACTTTGCACTAAAAAATTCAATATAACGCAGTAAAAAATAAAAAATCGGGCCAATCGGGTATCTTGCAAATTTTATTTTTATTTATTTAGCTTTCATTAAAATTAATCAAAGTGATCGAAAAATTAAGGGTCCAGTGACGTATGAATATCAAGTTCTAGTTTTGGACCACTGTGTAGGCGCCGCCTAGAACACTTGAGGAAGTCAATAAAAGATCTCGCCAGCTTAATAGCGCCGTTAGAAAGGATACGTTGCGCACGTGCCGCCCAAGGATTAAACTGACAGTTGAGTATATTATTTTTATACGCATGGAGAACTCCAGAGCCGAACGCTCAGTGTTTAGGGCTTTTGGTACACTACGTGTGCTTCGTTGAAATCTGTACAGATAAGACCATCTGCCAATTCCATACATACACACCAATTATCTAGGAGCCTATAGATTTTTCTCAAGAACAGTTTTTGACCTCTACAGGCACATCGATGGAACACAAATTTTCTCTCTGCTCTCTCTCCATGAACTCTCTTGAGTTAAGTTTTCATGAACATATTAACGCGCCCTAATGTGTACACCATCGTGCTCATCATTTGAAATAAATGACTGCTAAGCTTAACTAAATAAACACTTCCAAAACCAGCTGATTAGTCATTCTTGTTTCACTACGAACGCTGCTTTGTTAGTCGGGTTTATTTTTTTGTGTGTGCTTTGCTTGTCTTCAACATTTCAACATTTCAATATGAAGATTAGTTTTTAAATTAATTACCGCAAAATTTCGCGAAGATTAGCAGATTCTGTTTCTTTTGCTATTTTTTTTTCTAACTTTAACTCAGTTTTTTAATTAACAATCCGGGCCCATTGAGCTTCAGCGTTTGCTCTACTTTTGGAGCGCTGCGTATGTACATACATATGTAAATCCATACATACGCACATAATTAATGGGAATGCGCTGGAAATAATTAGTTTTTATTCAAACCATTCACTACGCATATGAAAACAAATGATCTGGCGTAGATACAAAATGCAAGCGTTTGAGCGGTCGATATGCTTGCGTCGCGTCGACGATCTGCCACCCCCAAGAGGCCAGCCGCCGCACTGCACTCTGTGCTCTGTGCTGTGTGTAGTTTTTTTAGTTTTTTGTGTGCGCACTCCCCCTCTTCTGCTAACTATGATAGTACATATGTATGTAAGTATGTACTACTAAAGTGTTAGTTTGTACAGCGCACGACAACGCGCTGAATGTGACCGCTTTGTTTATTGTGATTTGCGTTTCGTGGCTTCGCTGTTTTTGCGCTGCTTTATGTTTACTATTGGTGATGATGTCACCTGTAGCATTACCGGCTCGCGGCTGACTGCTCGACCGACCAGCTGCTCCACAACGATCGCTATGGCGATAAACAAGTTGGCATACAAAACATACAAAAACTCATTTGCATATATTTAGATATCTAACTTATGTGTGTCCGTGTGTCTGCTATATAGAATCACTTGTGAATGTGCTCATTCAATAATTAACAAAGCTATGTAAGCGGATTTTAGCATTTATATATACATATGTGTGTGTATGAAAGTATATGCGTGTGTAGACTTTTTTGTTTGAAACAAAATTGCACTTTGTAAATTTTTATAATAATTTGCATATGTCTATTTTTATACCTATCACTTATTTAATGTTTTTTTTTTTTGCCAACTATGAACGAATAATTTTTGCTGCTTTCGCGAATTCTGCCGTTTATTGCAATTTGCATATTTTTATTTGCTACACACACACACACACACACAAATCATTTGTTTCTATACTTTTAGTTTATAACCTCTCGCCGGTTTTGGCAAATTTTTGCGTCCTCCCTTTTATTAGTTAGTTGCCTGCCCTATTGCCGGCGCGACGGTCAAGCAAGTACTGTCAGTTGCCGCGCCAACGGCCCCATGACAGACAGTGGCAGCGGCTAATGAACGTCCACCAACGCCAGCGCGCTCACACACTGATATGCAGATTGCAAAAACGAAAGAAAAACGCATTAGCTGTTGCACAAATGCAGCATTGCAGCCATTGCATTTTGTGGTTAGAGGTTTATGCGAATTAGCGATTTAGCGATTTAGCAAATTTGCAAGCGGCAAGTGCCTCGAATTGAATGTATGTATGCAACAGCATGGTAGCTAGGCAACACGTGAGTAGAGTGCGCGCGTTGGGTATGGTGAAGCGCGCAAGCTGGCGGCAGTCAGCGCGCGCGTAAGTCATCACCTTGTTGCGCGCTTCTCTGGCGGTAGCAGGTGAGACGCGCGCTATTTTCACACCTGAGCGCCAGTTGGCTGTGGCAATTATTTTTGGATTTTGCTTCCGGAATCTGTGTTTGTGATTGTTTTGTTTATACTTTTTTTTGTGGGTTTGCCTCGGTAAACTGTACACAGTCATCATTTCTTTAATATAATTCGTGTAAGAAACTGATTTTGAACTACTTTTTTAGCAACATCAGAGTCTTGTGGAGCTACGGCCAGACTTCGGTCGGTGGCACCGCGAGCTTAATATACTCAGGATCGGAACGCTCTAGTATTCTTAGTAGCATCGACATCATTTCTGTTAACACAGATCACTATAACCAATGCGCTCTTTCTCCACTCACATCCTCTAACGGAAAGTAGAAGTAGGAAGGATGAGCCGTTGAAAGATTGAAAGATTGTTGGTGGCGCCTTTTGCTAGGAGCTCCCTATTAATTTCTAAAACATTTTTTAATCCTTCTACATGACTAAATATTATGAAAACAACAACGATTTCTAGGCCTGACTAACAGCCACTAACCAGCTAAACCTCGAAAAGTCTACCTTAAACTGAGTACGAAATTGATTGTTGGTGCCTTCTCTTTGGAAATTGTTTGTTATGATAACTACTCTTATTCCTATGCTAGGCGGACAGATGAACCACTCGGTGAGAATGTTTTGGGGATAGACCTCGGACGATGCGTTTCTACAAGTGTTCAATCCGAACTGAGTTACACAGGGAGTAAAAAAAATATAAATTGTTAGGGTGTCTGATATTGAAAGTAGGCCATCCCACTTTGAGGTGCTAGCATAATACTTCCGCCTTAAGATACCAAACAAAATTTAACTAATCTAATCCAATCTCTACGGAAGTGCCTACACTTCGACGAATACGTTTACGAGGACCTTGATAGGCTAGGTTCGAAAAGCTTCCAGCTTCCGTCCAGGAATATATCGAAATAAAAATGAAAAATTCTTTTACGAAAACGACAATGAGTATCTGAGGTCTGCGCGTAAACTTTTTAAGGGCGGCACATCTTTTCCAACCGAGGCAGCCAGGCGTGTAGCAAGATAAAACGTCCCACTTTGTAGGAAAAACGTTATTAACTCGCAAAAGACGTAATTTTTCGAATACTTATAAAAAATACTTAATGGCGATTCCCATCGTTCAGGCGTTAATTCCAACCGGCCAGTGCTAGTTAGTAGCCTCGCAATGTCAGGTCTGGAGTTTCCTAACAAGTTATGTATTCTTATGAAGAAATTGAGAAAATTTATTTTGGTTTCGACAGTCGATCAGATCGGGGAACAGCAAACGACTCGCGGACACAGAGTGCTTAAAGTTGAGCTGAGAGATGAGCTGATTGAAAACCTCAATGTCCTAGTTGAGTAATAGATGAGATGGGCAGCTTAACTAGAAAAGCGGCGGCATCAGCTCCATTAGGTCTGCAACCATTCCTTGCAATAGGCCCAAACACAATTAACAAGAGCTTAGGAAAGGAACGATTAG